CCCGATTCACATACAGCCGCATAAGAGATTTTATTTGGCACTCATCGACGAACATTTGTTGTAGATTGAGAACTCCTGGGACTCTGACACCAAGCCGAGGTCGAAGACATTGATTTGTACTGATGCCTTGGTATATGTCCCAGAGGACACTGAATGAATTTTGGCACGCTTGACTTGGCAACTTTCACCTCTTTCGGGATCCGGCTTTCAGCTTGGGGGAGTGCCCCCCGGTCCCCTGCCCTGAGCTGTTTTTCTGGATTCGGGATTGGTTTTTTTATGTTTTTTTTCGGTTCTTAGTGTTCGCAGCGATGTCCGACCTTGTCTTCTGTTCGAGATTCGGTTTGGCTGGCTTTGCGTCAGGAGCCACCAGCTGTCCTTGACAGAGAGGAGCTGACAGGTGCTTCAGCGGCGCTTTGCCGTGACGCAAAGGTAGAAACGAGAGACGCCAAAGTGATCTGAGGTTCTGACAGGAATCCGGGACCTCTGAATGCTTCGCATTGCTTCGCCTGCTGAGGCCTCGGCAGAACAGCTGGGAATTTCATCCTCGACCTGGTCGGATTGGTGAATTGGTTTCAGGCTCAGTGGAGCTGAACATCAGTGGAACTCAGTGTTGTGTGCATTCTCGGATGCCATGCTTCAGAGTCGTGGCTCGGATATGGTTCGGATTGCCTGCGATTCGCTCCGTTTGTGTTGTGGGTGTGCACCAGACAGGTGATCTGAGTCAAGTTCACAGCACGTACTGCGTACGCTTCCAACTGCCATGGTCCCAAGGCGAGGCTCTGGTGACACGGTGCGCAAAGCAATCCAGGCCACTGGCGTTCTGAGCTGCGCGAAAGGAAACAAGATGGAGCCCACGAACCCGAATGCAAACACGTTTGAATGGTTACATATGCCGATCTTTATCTTTTCAGAGAGGGGGGGCCCAGTAATCAATCTTTCTACGCAAAATTATCACAGCGACTTCTGTGTACATAAGCATTTGCGACATGTGACTGCTGAACATACACACCTGGCCAAATCTTTTTTCGGACACTGTAATGGGGCACTCTTGCAGAACTGTCTTGTAGGACTCGCTTGTGGGACACTCTTATATGACACTCTTGTGGGACACTCTTGCGGAACACTCTTGTACGACACTCTTGTGGGAAAGTCTTGTAGGACACTCTTCTGGGACTCTTGTGGGACACTCTTGTTTGTCACTCTTGTGGAACACTCTCGTGGGACACTCTTGTAGGACACTCTTGTGGGACACTCTTGTAGGGCACTCTTGTCGGACAAAATTCATGCGTCAATCCTCCAAAGCGAGCGTTTCGTACGAGACTTCCTCCAGAAGTCACATGTCAAAGTCTCACGATTCCCTGCGCCTGCCACGAAACTTTCCGTATCCACACGTCGCGCACAAAGTACTGGGCCTGCCACGAAATGTCACCTCCATCACACCTCGCAACCTCACGATCCCCTGCGCCTGCCACGAAAATCGCACTTCCACACCTCAAAGCCCGCACAAAATACTGCGCCTGCCACGAAAAGTGACAATATCGTATCACGTGAGCTTCAACAAAATTTGCACCACACCACACTACACGTTTGGAATGACTTCGGCCCGTTCTGAGCACACTCCCGTCCACCAAAATCGCCATTTCAGCTGAGACTTGTCACGAAAACACAGCTTCGACGCAACACCCTGAAGCGCAAATCTGAGTGGCACAGCCACATCCAACACCCAAAAACACCACACTCCAAACGCTAATCCCAATGTAACTGCGCAGAAAACTGCCGATCTCACAAAACGCTGCGCCTGCGCAGTGAACTCATCCTCCACACTTCAACATCTTACGTTTCCACACGACTCCTCGCTACGAATCTGGCACATCACGCTTCCATGCCAAACCCTCTCCAAAAGCTTCCCCGAATGGCCTTAGCGCTCTACTGCGAACGGCGGCGGACGGTTGCGCACGGTTGACAACGGTTGCGAACGCTGAGACACGGGTCGCGAACAAGGCTCGGCCCCCAGACCCCCAGAGTTAAACGAAAACCCTTCGCTACGCATTCGGGAAAAGCGCGCAACTGCGCAAAGAAAAGAGTGCCAGAACCACTACAGTAGGGAGTTCTATGATCAAGTCAACTCAAGTTCTATTTGCTCAATTCGACTGAGTCCAACTTGGTCCATTTCTTGTCGCCGTGTCTACGTGTCCGTGGATGGGTGAGAACTACTGCCAGCCTCAGCATCAGGAGGAAAGCGCTGGTCCCACCCCTTCTGATGCGGCGCTGCTGAGGAGCACGGGAGGAGGTGAAGACATGAACCGGTGCTTCGTAACGTTCTGGTGAAAGTACACCATATAATATAGATGCGTATACCAGCAGTCACAAAGGGGTGCTTAATGGAGGTTAGGGTGGCCCATGATCCACTTACTTGGGGACCAAACACCACCCCTTCGTGACTTCTGGTACAGATTTGTTTTTTAAAGGTGTATCCAATTGAGCATTTTCAACCCCAACTCCACTTTTCTCAACAAACTGCTGCGGCTGGACGAGGAAAGGGTGGCAACGAGATGCTTTGTTATCGCTGTACTTTGGTCCATGCCTCGGAGCAGCGGTACAGCGATAACCGGGACAAGGCAAGACACAGCGAAGCTGAGGTCCCGACGGAAAGAGTATTGTGGATCCCTCTCAGGCGGATGCGGATGCGACTGGCGGCGTCGGTGGGAGTCGCGAGTCGCATCGCTTGACACGATGGCTGCGTTCTTGAGGCCTTCAAGGCCATCTCAGGGCGATGGATTGTGGGGTCAGAGTCCTAGTGAATGGTGACTTCTTCTTTTTTTTCTTTTTAATTGATCATTTTATTTTTTGGATTGATATCCTGTTGATACCTCCTAAGATGTTGATACCTCCTATTCAAAAGGATGCCAAAGCGTTCTGGCGCTTTTTTGGAGCCAAAGAAGTGAATGGAAGTTGTACCTGTGACAAAGACAAAGAGACTTTGGGTCCGGGTAAAATTGATTTCTGCATTTCTGCCAGCTCACAAGGCCTGTGTGCTATTCATTGGTCTATGGCGGGCGAATTCGAAAAGAAGTTAAGGCACCTGCAACCAATTTTGATGTGCCAATCCGATTTTATGTTTTTTGAGTAGTTGAGCTTCTTCAGTGGAGCATTGGAGGAGTGGTCTGAACGACTCTGCGAATGGGACGTGCAACAGCCAGCGCCCCAAAAAGCGCAGAAACCGCTCGTTCACGCCACCCACTGAGTGGTCTGACTGGTTGATCGTGCTGTGAGGATCCTCCCCGGACACTTCGCCGGACCAGTGGGTGGCAATGGAGATGACATCCGAAGAGCGTTTGAAGTTTTGGAAGAAAATGTGGAGGCACGGCGCTCGGAGATGAAAGGCAGACATGGGCAAAGGCTAGTGGCTAGTGATTGTAACTGTAGTATATATATATATATACGGATTTGTTAAATGTCGACTCACGCAACGGTTGGCAAAGCAATCAACGGATTTAGACCGCACATTTGCGGGGGGGCAACTTCCCCAGCCGAACTATGATTGTTCCATCCATGGATCTCCCAAGATCTTAGATTGCTACCCACTGGTTACTGGTTCATCTGCTTCATCTGGCTACCCTCTCTTGAGGCCACAGAGCCTGCCGACTTTGCATTGCCGTGGCCCTTTCCGCAGCCGGTGCGCTACCCAGCAGAGGCAGGGCAGGGACAGTGGCCTTGTTACTTCCCGTTGTGTATCTACCTGTCTATGGCCGGGTAGACCATGTAGATCGCTGAAAAGCAAAGCAGGTTCAAAGGCAAATTCAATGGATGATCAGATGAGCTGAAGCAAAAGCCAATCAGATTAAGGCCCATGTAGATCTCCAGGGATCAACTCAATCCCCAAAAGATTGCGATAAAACTGCGACGGAGGACCTGAAGCTTTTGACGGACATCCGGGGAGCCTTGAGAGCGCTGAATGTTATTTGATTTGCTCCACATTAGCCGGACGCTTCTCGCCGTACAGTATCAGTGTCACCTGCAGTGCAGCAAGTGAAAGATGGAGGACGTCGAATCGCACGAGATAAATCCTACAATGGCTAATGGCTAGGAATTGTCAAGCAGCTGTTGGGGCAGGCAGGCTGCATACTTTGGAGCTTACCTGATTCACCATTGCATTGCATCTAGTTTTCCAGAAGCTTTCAGTCCACATCTGGGCTTCCAAAGAATTAGACTTTGATGCGAAGAGGCCAGCTCAAAGCATGGTCTTTCCAAATTTTCTTTGCACTCCGGCTATGTTGTGGCATGCTTCCGGCCAAATGATGGTTTGCCCCTCTTTCAGCTTGAAACGCATGTACATTTATATAGCCTCACATGATTCACATTGATTCTCAACCTCTGAAGCCTTTTAGAGGCAGACTGCTGTGCCGACAAAGACTCCACGAGTGAAGCAGCAAAAAGAGCCAACCCACACATTTTTCATGTTTCTGCTGAAACATCTTGCCTGGCTTTGTCAGAATCCGTCAATCAAGAGGCATATGTCTGGCATGGTCAGCTGGGTGTACAGTCATTAAGAGACACAATATCATGACCTATCGTGAAGAAACAAATCTTTGGAACGATGAATTGCTGTTGAGCATGTCCCGGTGAGTTGCTGTTGGTCGTTCTTCTGCCAGTCCGGCCAGTCTTGCACATGGTTGCATGTGGGTAGTATTCGCGCACGGATCAGGTTGCCCAACTGCCAAGTGAATCTACCCCTTTGCGCGAACACGACCAAGGGAATTTCATCATTGTTTGCCTTGTAGCTTCATCTGATGCCATTGTTGCTCTTTTCCATGCTCCTCAGACCGGCTTTTGGTTGCCATTCGGTGCTGTGGTGCTGCGTGTTCACATGGTTCACACGTTCACTGTGCTTCGCATGAACCTGTGACTCTTTCCATCATCTAGTTGATGCGAATCAACACCTGGACCTAGTCTTTTGAACGGCTTAGCCGTGCGGGAACCGTCGGAGGGACCCGTCGGAGGAGATCGCAAGTCTTCAAAAAGCCCGTCGCACGCGGCGTCCGCACCTCGGTGGCTTTCACCGACCGCCGCAGTTGGGCGGGCGGCTTGGAAGAAGTGCGGTGGCTTAAGCAAATTCAAAAGGTAAACGTGGCTTAAGCAATTGGCCTTGGAAGAAGTGCGGCTTAAGCCTTTAAGCTTAAACATTTGTTGAATCGTTTTAATCTTTGCCGTTCTTCCCAACTTCACGGGTCAGCACCTTCGGATTTGTAAAGCAATCCTTTTCTGGATTTGGAAGGCCAGCAACGCAGTCGTGATGGCTTGCAGTCAATCGGCCTGGAACTCAGAGGACTGCAGCACCATTCTCAGCCCGCATTGTTCTGCAAGTCAGTTGCCACAGGTTTGGTGGGATACACCAACGTTGGGAAAAGTGCTGCAGGAGCCTGAGCCACGCGCCTTCGGCTTGGTAATGCTTACGTAGAACTCCTTGTTGGATTTGACAGCAATTGCTTGACAATTCCAGTAGCGCTATTTTGCATCAACAGGTTAGATCCAAACCAATTATATACTACTTGTAGGGTGCCCTGCAAATGCCGCCACTCTCGAGCAGCAGATACCGTTTGAGACGCCACCTTGCCAACTCGAAAAGGCGCCATTGGCCCAACACCGTCTTTTTTTTCTTCGGGGCACCGAAACGAGTGGCCCAACACCGTGTTTTCCCCAACACCTCCACCCCCGCCGGAGCTCAGATCGTGAATCGCCTCGCTGGATCCGACCTCGTGGTGAAGGCGGTGAAGGGTCGCGGCCGCGCGCGTCCGGGTCGCCGTGTCGCGGTTGGAAGAAAGGCGAAGGAAGGACGTGCACGCACGTCTGACTCTCATGAGCTGAAATCAATGTTGATTTCATTGAAGATCCATCTCGACAGAGCAGAGTAGTTGACTCTTTTCATGGCTTGGCGGAAAATGGGTTTCAAGGTTTCTCTCTCATGGGTATCCTCAAACCATTCCTTGCTCTCCTTGCTCTTTCTTGTTCTACCAGGTTTTGGTACCTAAGAAGAACTCGCTCCTGACAGCAAAGAGATTGACCTGACAGGATGGAGTCTTTGTGACCTTAGACCTTGCCGCACGACGCTTTGAATTGCACGTGGCGCCCAGAAACTGACATCTGCCACTGAGCACACCGGCCACGACGCACGCACTCTGGACTGGTCAACGGAGCAATCTGGGCTCGATCTGTCCGATGCGACGATCTGGGTGACAGAAAGAGCCGAGATCTGTAGGTTTCGAAGAAGAGGTGGATGACAGCTGCAAGAGTCCTTTTTGGCCCCAAGGGAAGCCCTCCCGATTCCGGTCCGTAAGGCCATCCGGCAGTCAATGTCACATTCTTGACTCGGTGGGCTTCATCAAGGCGCTTCACACCGGGTGGGCGGATGGCTCAACGCGATCGTCAGACTTGTCATTTGGCAATCCTACTGTTGATCATGTTGATCACATTCCTGCACCACCTGATGTAGACGTGAGTAGATACCATGGGTGGATCTCTGATTAAATTGCCATACTGATCTATACTATATATATATATAGATCTACTCTAAATCATCATGCTTTTGATCCTATGATCCACAGCTTCTGGTATATCCCAAAGAGGTGCAGGATTTGGTCAATAATCACAGCGGCAGAATCGTGAACTCACATGGCTAGGATTTGCCGATTGAGCTGGTCGAAGTCTTTCAGGCAACGATTCAGGAGAAGCGCTTGATGTCGAAGTCGGCATGATTTGGCATGAGCAGGCATGGTCACTGCACACCTGGCACCCTATGATTGCTTTTAGATCTTCATGGATTCATGGGTCCCAAATCTGGATGTCCGACATCGAGCAGCGTCTCGAGCAGGAGCTCCAAGCGGCGACCGTGATCCTGCACGTGAGGGACATGGCGCATCCCTCCCGCGAGGCGGCGGGAGGGAGGCGGCTGGCGTGGCGAAGCCCCAAAAGCAAGAAACCACATGAATCACAAAGACAATGAAAGATCTGGAAGAATTGAGTGCTTCCTTTTCTTGAGCCAGAAAGGACTGGGGTGTGCAGGTTTGGTTTATTTTGGGAAGAGGGGGCCTCCTTCTTAATTTGCCAGTTCAGAGATACTTTGGTGAAACACCTGCGCATTGGGGGTTGAGATGTGGTGTTCGGGGATGGGCCTTGCGGACCAAAGTGCTTCTTGCTCGGCGAGGAGCAAGGCCAAACCGTGCGCAGCGTTTTAGACGAGAATGGCATTGAGGAGGAGCGGGTGATTGAGGCGATTTGGGCGCTGTACCTGTCTTGCAATGCACAGATTTGGGCGGCATGGGGAATGTTTTTTTGGGACATCTTTTTTCCAGGTGCCTGATGTCTTGCATCATTGTCATGGTCGACTGCTGTTGTTTTCCTCCGCAGATGTGGTGAATCAAATCTCTAGTACTTTGCTTGTTACAGTTTAAACATCAACATACAGTGCTTAGATGTGCTTAGTACCTTGCAGAGAAAGAGCCGATTGCCGGAAAATGCCAGAAGTAATGCTGCACCAGGTGTGGAACAAGACGGACCTGCTGACCGAGAGACAGGCAGCTGCCGATGTCCAATGCTGCTGGTTAATCACAATCAACTCCTGTGTTGTGCGCATGGGGGCGTCTCAACAACAGGTGCAGCATTTGCTCTTTCTTCATCGGCGAAAGGACAGCCAAGCGTTTCCTGCGCGGACAAGAACAGAAGTGTATGGTTTCCAGATGTTTCCAGTTGTTCTTGATTGCTTCTGGATCAGTTCCTGATACTTATTGGAGGTCTGCCAGTTTGTGCACTTCAACCAAACATTTTAACTTGCGGAAACCGTGAGACATGCAATCTTTGTCCAGTGGCTGTTCGCTGTCACAGCAGCCAAATTTCCAGGATGATGCTTCGCCGGTTCCGACCATCAGCGCTCTCACAGGCGGCCACCAGAACAGGTTGAATGCAGAACCGATTTCAGTCGAAGGTAGCCAAGATATGCCGAGATGGTGATTTCTAGGTAATAGCTCCCACACACACACACACACAATCAGTCCCTTCTCACCATTTCTCCTCCTTTTTGGAGGCTTTTCTTCGCCTCAATCTCTGCAGTTCTCCCACAGCTGGTTTCGGGGATCAGCACTTGCACGTGAGCTGCTGAGCGTGTTTCGTCTTCCACCACCTCAGCTCTGTTCTTCAGCTGCGCATTCAACTGGTTCGAGGCAGGCAATCTTTGTCCTTCAGCCTCGATTCTAGCTCCGGCAGCAACAGGTTGACAACACCAGACTCACATTCCTATGGGCTGCATGCAAAACAAAAGATACAAAAATAAGTTTCCCCATTGGCTCTTGCTGCTTTAGCTTCAAGCAAGAACGCACAACTTCCACGCAGCCTTTCTTGCAATGTGCAAACCTGTTTACCCAAAGCTTGTTGCATTCTTGTCAGCTCTGGCCTCAATCAAAACAACCTGAATATGGCCACGGTAAAGTGTGACAAAATGCAAAGCTTCTTCGCCAGAAACTATGGCCACAGGCCACATTCTGTCAGCTCCAGCCTCAAGCAACCACTGAATGACTTTCACGTGCCCCGCAACTGCAGCTTGCAAGCTCCGGGCTCGATCAAATCGTACTACTTCTGCTCAGGGTGAGCTGAAATTTGCGCTGGCCGCTGTGTCCACACTTGTGATTGCCGCATCCTTGTCAGCTCCAGCATGCTCCAGCCTTCAATATCCGCACAACTTCCACCTTGAGTTCAAACAGAAATTGTTGCATCAACCTTTGGGCGCCTTTACTACGGAATCCTGTTGCCTTTGAAGCCGTTCAATTCACTCCAACTCTTGGACGCGATGTCGTTCCTCTTCCGATCAGGGCGTGAACACGAGGGGTCCGTACCGGGATGGACCATGGGAATCGCTTCCACCCAGCCATGCAGCTGATACCTACTGACTGTGCTGGCCCCCAACGAACAGCCATTCATACACGAGGGGTCGGAGTTTGTGAAAACCGAGAACACAACCATATTGTTGTTACGCTGCAATCTACGGCTCGCAAACTCTGATCCTGAGAAAACCTGTCATATGCACCTTTGGGACGTGCCTCGATATCCTCAATTGCTCAGACACCACTTTTTCGTTTGCTCATGACTTGGTGAGGTGTTCCAGCCTTCAAGGGTGTTCCAGCATCATATCACTGGCTGGTAAGATCAACCGCTGGGCAGTCAGAGATTAGAAGTGCCCCACCATATGTGCGACCATTTGTGTCCTTTCTGCTCTTCTCACGAAAGGAAAAGTAGGGAGAGTTTGATAGGGCTACACTTGTCGAGGTCATGCATGGCAGCAAAGGTGCCAAACCAAGGTCCACGATAGCTCCTTCGTCCTGCTAGTAACCTTGATCAATTTGCAAGGCCAACGATTGTTAATCTAGCATAAATCCAGCCACAGCTTTTCCTAAATTTGTGGTGTGCCAGGTGAGATTTCTCATTTGTTGCTGAACAACGTCCCCGTCCTTGCTTGCTTCACCTGACATCGTTGGCGAAGCCATCTTTCGATCTTCCAGTGCACGTGGTTGCCCTGTGGCCTAGCTGTGTCTCCGCTGCTTAGACTAACTAAGACCACCATCTCCTTTCTTTGATACAGTAGTCACTGAATCTGCAAATCACAGCATCGTCAACACAGCATGGTAAGTTCACCTGCAGCTTCTTCTTCGCGAGGCGATGGCTTTGACCACTTGCTGGAGACTGTGGAAAAGAAGCTCCAGGCAGGCTGTGGCGGCTGTGGGGCCTCCAAAAAGGAAGCAAAGAAACGACGGTTTCCGGTGCCAACCATTTTTGATTTTGCACTGATTTTGCACTGATTTTATGCACCTTGTGTTTCATAGTTATGTCATAGTGGGCAGTGCAATGGAATGTTGAGGTAGCATTCTGCTGATATCGCCAATTAAACAGATTTCAGGATAATGCTGGATAGGCAGAGTGAAGCCGTAGGTTACAGGACTTGTCCACCTGTGGCAGGACTTGTCTGTGAAGCTGGTGCCCGTTCCTCAGCTTTCAGGGTCTATGTCGCTAGCGGCATGGCCGACCGTTCCTGATGAAACACTGGGACCAACAGTGCAGGGGTGGGACCAGGTGGCTCAACTCAAAGGTGGCTGCCGCGTGAAAAGACGGCTGCTGGGTGGACCAAAGGAGGTTCAACTCAAGGTGTACTTGTTACTGTAGTCGCCTAGCATTCCTACCTCCTGGATTTATAGCAATAAGGGCCGGTAGCAAGGAACATCCGAGTGCACTAAAAAAGTCACAGGGAGTTGTTGGGTTGATCATTGGGCGGAGCTCATCTTCCAAACATATGGCCATCATGTGCCATCATTCCGCGAGAAGCGCTGAAATGAGTTCTTCCTCCTTCCCAGATGGCTAAATGGCTGAACAAGGCATAGATGACATAGATCATGCTTTGCGTAGAAGGGCTTTGTCCAGACGTGAATGAGTTGAGGCCAGGCCTAAATACCTCAACTGCGCTTGAGGCAGAGCCGGGAAGCACGGTGGCGGTCAGTTTATTTGGCAAAGACCGGTTGAATGCGAGTCCTTTGATTGGAAGAACGACAATTCTTTTCTCTGGCTGTGGTCAGGTTTCTTGCACCGGCCCGCAGCTTGTTTGGGACTTAGACTGGTAAGAATCACTCCCCGGCCTTGCTGTTTCATACCAGGTTTGGCCATATGGTTGCCATGGATTTGTCCACAGCGGTGGTAGCCTTCTCCTGGCACCGACAGAACTCTTCGGCCGACTCCGAAACCAGCCTCCTCTGTGCAGGCTTCGCCAGGGCTATCATCTCACCCTCCACGGTTGGAGAATCCCAGCGCGGACCCTTTTCGTGCCTTACCTGGGGTTGGAGAATCTCTTCTCTCACTTCTTCCTTTGCCTCATCATCTTCCTCATTCAGGAACGCACCAAGGCTGGCACTCAGAGCGCAACGCAGCCTGAGCGAGGGATCAAGCGCTGGATGTCCAGTTGGAACTCTGCATGAGCGTTGCATCTGAAAGCAGATGGATCTCATTCAACTGGACCGAACGCAGACAGCGCATACCGAAGGCGACGTCGGTGCGAATTCGTACGCCAGGTGGTCACGGCGAACCTCACACATTAGGTGGCTCAAGGCTAATAAGGAAAGCGGATCCTAGAGCGCTATATTGTTTGAGTTGTGTGCCCCACCACACATAGTAAAGAGAGTTTGGATCGAGCAGGGTCAGAGTAGAACAGAGGAAAGAAGAGAAGAGAGAGAACAGGATACTAGTAGAGTAGTGGTGGAGAAAGAGCAATGCAGAGAGTGAGAGGGACGAGAGAGGTCAAGAGCAAGGCAAGAAGGAAGCAGATGTATTGTACTCTATTTCACACGGCGACTTAGCTTTGCCATTACGATGTCGCTCGACTTAGAAGGTTTGATATGAAACAGCTCTTCTCGATTGATTTCCTGAATATGCCACCCGCACACCAGTACCACGCATTTGATCAGTATTTGTATATAACTTTAACAAATTGGGAGTTGTTAATCGTTAGTACTCTTGGGCACATAGGGCCAAGAATTTTCACCTTTATGAGATTGGGAGTTGCTCATATTCCTGAGCACATAGGTTGCCAAGCACATCGTTCCCATTATCTTCACACAAGGCTTAGCTTTCGTCAGTAATCGTGAATATAAATATATATATAGATTATAGATATAAGCATGTGCACTCACATTGGGTGGGTGTCACTGGGCACAGCATCGTGAAGCCGTGCATATCCAGTAGCAAACGTGAAGACCATTTGTGCGCCATAGCTCCTTCAATGCATGGTGGTGACTGGTCACTTCAATCTTGTTGTATTTGGTGTACCCTACTCAGACAATACTTCTTTCTTGTGGCCCACACCAGCGCCATCAGCCATGCGCACAGCAGCGCCAAGAATATTTCACATATTTTTACATATTTGGAGTTGTTCATGAATTGTGGGCTTTCTCTTGGGTGCGCAGGTTGACTAAGCAAATCATTGGTGTAAATCATGTCCATGTCCAGTTCTACTAAATCTGTTCAGCATGCCCAAAGCAGACTCAGGTACGTATCCCACATGATCTCCCTCCACAACAGGCAATGTGAACCTCGCTGCAAGTCTGCTGCAACCTGCTTGAGGTTATGTTGTTGGTTCGCAATGGTTTCCATGCGTCAATGGTTCGAAGGCGTCATGTTTGATGAATGAAAGCTCGCACGCAATGTGTGAAATTGCTTGCTCGGCTTGCTCTTGATCTGGCACTCTACAACTTGACCAAACTGTTCTCTTGAAGGCAGGCTAGTTGGGATGCCAAATGATTGAATGATATTGAATGTGGTCATTCTGATGGACTTTGGGCTGTCAATCAATTGCGAGTTACACATGCATTATACTATATATACATGTAGAAACTAGCTTTCAGAAGAACTGTCGGCTGAACTGAGTCGGCCACGCTGAACTTGTTGAGGCTGCAGATCTGTGGAGTTTTCTTCACGAGACGAGTTCAGTGACTTGAATGAACTGAGGAGTCTGTAGGAAGAATCCTTGAACAACTTGGAATATTGAACGTTTCTTTATTATTTTTCATTTTTTGGAAAGTGGCCTGGCCTGCAGGCAACTCAAATGTTTTGGGTTGTGTGTTGGCCTTGAGCTGCAGCACGGCCAATTTCCCGCAAAGTGTCACAGGATCGAATCAGCCCAACTGTTTCTTGCAATGGCAGGCATTGTGTCGGAATGTTTGCGTGAAGCTGAACCATTAATCAATGCAGCCTGTGAAATCATGGAGCAGCTCCAGGATGTACGTTGCAAAGCTTCCATTACCGAGAGACGAACTTGTATCGGGAGGCGAATGTGCCACCAGACATGTATGTTACATACCTGGTATGAGCAGACAAGCGACCCTTCGCTGTTGGCAAGAGCTCGAGCCTGTGCAGGCCAATGTGTGGAAAGAGCGAGATTGGGACATCATGACCCATTGTGCCCACTTCGGCAAATGCAGAAAGGAAGCATAGACACCATGGATATGCTCAAAATGGCCTTGCAGGCTGCACTGAGTGCATGAAAGCTGGACTCGCTGACGTGCGGTTCTGTGTCCGCCATCCGGTGGGGAACTCTGCACATATGATTTTCTGCAGCAGTGATCGGAGTTGTGAGAAAGCAACGATCCGTTGGCTTTGCTGTGGCTTGCAAGCGTTGGTAGAGGTGTTGGCGGCTGCTGCAGAAGTCTCCAACCCTTAGCACAGTGCCCTTGAAAGTGATGATCATCAAGCCCGATACCCAACCGACCTGCAAACCACACGAGCAGTCAGGGATGCATGATCCTTTGCCAGTCACAGAGAGCTTTGAGAGCTTTGTTGAAATAACTCATCAGGCTTTTGAATCTACTCACTGATGTAGGGCTTGAAGTTTTTGAATCTAGGCTGGTTGCCCATTTCGCACGATAAGCCTGCTGCAAGTATCCCCCTGGAAGAAGCTCAATAGATTATTCAGCGCAATCTTGGCACAGCCTCGCTTCGTGCAGATGAGCCAACAGTTGAAGAACAGATGGAGAGACGCACCTTGAGCCACGGAGGGCAGGGTTCTTGGAGAACCATGGGGGGGCAGGGTTCTTGGATGAAGTCTCTACATCAGCTTTCAATGGTTAAGGAGGAATATGTTGAAGGAATTGTCGAAGTTGATCGGACCCCTCTTGACATGGAGGCCCATCCGAACTCCGGCGGACAACAAGGCATCAAGCTGCAGGTATCATCCTTCCTTGCCGTAGGCAGTAAAGCGTGAGTTTGTTTTCATGATTTTGCAGAAGCAGGCATTGTAGCAAGCGTCTAGCTATCTGCAAACTGGCAAAGCTGGACGTACCTCAATGTTACGTTCAGTGATCAACATGGTGCTACTTGTCCTGTCGGCGAAGCATTCTGCAAGTCCGACTGCCACCTTGGTATTCTCCAATTGAACATGGAGCAACATATATGCTTCCTTTGATCAGGATCAGGGCAGTTCTTCATTGAACCTCACATGGCAGAGAAGCAAGATGATTGTCGTGCCTTGAATCGCTGTGGTTTGAGCTTTAACAGGAGCTGCGTCATGTCGATAACATTGCCGTGGTTCCTGAGAGCCTTCCTTGGCTTCAAGATTGCTTTCAAGACTATTGACAAGCAGAGCGCCATTCTGGTTGGGAGGCCGACATTGAAGCGCTTGGTTTTTGGCTGCCTTACCACGTGTTTTGAGTAAAAAAGCGTTTGCATGCATACCTACAGTTGACAGCAGTAAAACTTGGCAAATTGAAGTTGCATCCCAGCATGCAGTCTTGCCCGCAATTATCGCGAGCTCTTCCCAACTGGGACTAGGAAGGCCATGAAAGAATCTCTGACATTTGAGAGCCACGACCTCAAAGCCTGTGCTTGACAAGTCCGATTGGCTTGAGCGTGATATGTATAGCAGTGATGGTGTGCAATGATATGCAGGGATCAACCTGACGCCTCTTTCTGGTTGGTGGAGCATTCTGCAAGTCCGACTCTTCCAGCTGTTTGGACGCTTGAAAAAGCAAACTCTATCAAAGGGCGATGTGCAATGTACACTGTACAGGGAATGTTTTGTGTGCTTCATCAACGGCTCACTGGCAAGACAATTCTTTCGAATTTGTTGGTGCACGCTGAGTTGTGTTTGCAGCTAGAATCAGTTTGTAGACTGAGTCTACTTCAGGCCTTGGTGTTGTGAACAGAAATGGCTACTTTGTTTCGACAAACAAGCAACATTGAACTGATGCTACCTGAACTTCTTGAGGTGGTCGAGGACTCCATTGCGTCCTGCAAGGAGGGGTGGTAATGTTCCTTTTGGAGCGCATTATGTTCAACGACTTGATTGCACACTTTTTTGTGTCTTTTTCTCAACCAAATAGCCAAACTAATATATAGCATTATGTAGCTGCATGCAAGCAATATTTGTGAACTCCGGAGACTTTTGCGAGACACTTCGAATTTCTGGTGGAACGTACCTCAGTTCGTGGACCTTCCTGCGAACCGGAATGGCCCATAGAGTAATACCATGGACTGTAGTAACTGTAGTACCTTTCAAAGGACATCTCTGGAAAGGAACTATTTTCCTGGCGTAATCATGTAACCATGTGTAACCTTTTTCTTTCGGTTTTCACGAATTCAGCCTGGTTCCTGTCATGTTAAAGTGGGGGCACTAGTTCAAAAAACTTACATCGAGAACGAACTGCACGTGTGATAGCCAGTTACATTTTGGTTCGAGATGTTTTCCATTCATCAGGACACGAGCGATGTACTTCTTGAAGTGAAGATGGACAATGCAACACGATCAAGGCCGCGGAACAGTAACATGTGAGCTGGAGGTGTTTAGAAAGAAGAGACTTTGAGGTTATACTACTGGAAAAATAAAAAATATCTATAGACATATAAACACCACGCAGTTGGAACATCGAAACATGGACAAACTGATGGTTCATGGTAGATCTTTAATCCGCCGGTCTGAGGTTCCTCAAGAAATTTGGTGGAGGAATGCTCTTATGAACACTGCAAGGCAGTAGTACGCATGATGATCAGCACTTCGGAAACGCCTTGGACCTCCCTCGGATGATCGCATGCGCTGCGCGGATCATCACGGATCTTGCATGACACGGATCGCTTGGCATGAGCGGGGTCGGCCGCTGAGGAAGGCGCATATACTGTAGCTGAACTCAGACTGCTGGATGGTGTGCAGACGTGGTTGTGGCGAGCTGATGAAGGCTGACGAAAGCTGATGAAAGCTGATGAGGACCTGTGATGACCAAAAAACAGAGTGCTGGATTAAACCAATGCATTTCAATGCATTTCACCCAAAGTCCCCTTGGCACAAACTTGAGTCATGCTGGAGCGATCTCAAAACTCCCGCAGCTAGAAGGCTCACAGGATTGTCCGGTTCGATGTACTTGCTTCTACTGTATGTAGCTGGAGTTGTGAGTGAGCAAGGAGAGTTTGCAAATTGTCATGGCTTCAAGCCGACGGTGACACCGAGAGGGGGCGATGATACATTTCAAGTCGATTTGGATGGAGTGGAGTGCAAGGTTGCATGGATTTCGCATGAACGAAATCCAGACACGCTGCAGAGCACATTGAAAGATAATGATTTTGTCCTGACAGATAGCTTGAAGACCGTTCCTTTCGCAGCACGGAATGGCCAAGTGATCTTTTTAGAGAAGCTGCACCCCATGCCTCGCATTGGAAATGAGGCCCTGGATGCAATCCTGGCTGCGAAAGATAATTTGCTGCTTGGTGCACTGAGACCCAAGACATGCTATTTAGGACGCTACCTACTAGGGGCTCCTGGCATCGCTACTCGGAGCAAGGACGCTACTAGGGCTCCTGGCATCGAGGATTCTTTCCCCAAGTGAATAATAGGATCGTGGCAAGGACCTGATTCTTTGCCCACACCAGGCTTTCTATTCTGCTGCCGAGAGACACTTCCTCATCGTGGGAAGATGAGACTACAAGTTTACTGGCACAGCAAGCAGTCGACTTGTTGCCGCAGCATACTTTCATTGATGATGGACTTGGCAGTACCCTGGAGAGAGCCTTTCGGAAGTACCGTTTTACCTTGATTGTTGATGATGAACTGCACACACTTTCGCAAGCTCTGGTTCATGCAATTGCATGGGGCAGCATTCCCTTTTTCAATGGCTTCTCCTTCATGCTTGCCATGCTGCCACGTGTGGTCCTGCCTTGGAATCGATCAAGTTTTCGACTTGATCAGTTTCTTTCCATTGTTCCAGAGATCAACCATGAGATCCTTGGTACTAGATTCTTGCAGAGTTACGCAAGGGGCCCCAACGGGTGCTCACGGGGGGGTTATTTATATTCAACATGCTTATAATTTATAATTATTGTTAAACCGTGCAACCCATCTGCGAATGCATCGCCTCCCAAGCACCACAGACAGCCAGGTTTTTGCGCCAAAGCCTTGCACACATCAGGAAAGCAAAGAACACCAGAAAGGAGAATGGGCAAGCGAACAACAACACATCAGGACACGTTTCCTTCAGTTCTACTCTGCCCTAGCCTGGACTATACAGAAGGACAATAAAGAGGTGAGAACAGAAGAGCTTACCTGTATTCTGCTCTACCCTGGTCTACTCTAGCCAGAAGCCTGCGTTTGAATGAGCAAACGCGCAGGGCAGAGCAAATCTTGCAAGATAAAAGTACTTGGAGTGTCAAGCAGGGGTGTAGAATAGCAAGGCTGACGGGAAAGGGCTTTGAAGGTTGAGTCGGAAGTACAGAGCGTTGATGAACCGTGCGGACTCAGCGAACGAAGAATGTATATGCACCATACTTTTGCTGAATTTTGTTGAGCTGGAGGTTGGCTTTGCAGCAAAGTAAATGCTAGATCATCGGTGTTTAGGCCCATTGTGCCGGTTCTCATTTAGAGTGGGCAGTTACTGGTGCAAGTTTGAAAGAAGCTGTGTCAAGTTAAGCACTCGGTGGCAAAAAGAACTCTTTGCAGACTTTCTGATCGTGCTCAGGATAGGGCCAATATGGCAACAACATCGCTTGCTGAATGATCAGCTTTTCTATAGATATGCCTATGACTTCGACAGGGCTTTCAGGCACTTTTCGTGCACCTTGTGTTCAAGCGTAAGAGATTCCCGCTTGGTTGAGGAGCAAGCTGATTCCCTATTGCTGTTCGTTGGAGTCTACTCAGCACAAGACAACTTTGCCAAGAGGGCTGTGATTCGTCGAACCTGGGGACGTGTGTTCCAGCTCTATGGACATGTGAAGTTCTTTTTAGGTCGTCCAGATGAACGCTTTGCGACCCAAGTCCGGGCAGAAATCCAAAAGCACCAGGACATGGTGCTTTTGGATGTTCCGGAAGGCTACCAGTGGAACTCCATGAAGGGCTTACGATTTTTGGAGTGGTGCTCCAGCAACGTTTTGGCCCAGTTCTTGGTGAAGGTGGATGACGACGTGTATGTGCGACCACTTCCATTGATCTCGCTTCTGAGGCAGAGACCTCAAGTTGGGTATCGTGGCATCTCTACTTGTTGGAGGTCCCCTGTGGACAAATTGTCGGGATTTTGTGGCCAGTGAACACTTAAAATCTTGCCAATCCAAATGTCTTGGTCTAGCGTTGCTCTTCAGCTTGGGGAAAGACCTGCTTAGGTATGTTTGGGGCTATTTTGATTATTTCAGCCCAGTTCCACGAGAAGAGGGTCATGCTTTCTACAACTCTGAAGACTTTTATCCCTTCGATGCTTTTCCACCCTATGCTCGTGGCTTGCTTCGTGCTCTCTCGATGGATGTGGTCCACGGCTTGGCCTCACTCAGTCACGGTATACGAGCGGCTGGGCTCAAAGAGCTGATTGGGGGCATGGTAGCAGCCTTCTTTTTAATCTTAGCTGAGGACACATTCCGCGACGGGGCAGGTAGGAAGTGTTGGCATGGCTGCAAACACCAAAAAACCAGGTCAGATGACTCATGTCATTCGGTTCCGTCAGTTCCGGGTTTTCCATCGGAGAATGACCATCGAACCCCTGAGCCCCTCAGGTCATCGCAGGGGACGACCCCAGTTTCGGAGTGCATCTACGGTATCTCCGCGACGAGACGGGCCTTGTGGCGAGGTTAACCTTGGACGATCGGGACTCTTATAGGGTCTTTGCCATGGAGCCCAGCTGCAATCCAAGCTTATGGTCACATGTGACACACCGAAGTTGGGTCATCCATCACGTCACGCCACAGCAGATTCAATGTATTTGGGATGTGGATGTGGAGGCTGGAATTTATGAAGATCGTGAGGCTTTGCTCCATGTAGGAGCTGCTTACCAGCACCATGCAGAAGTGGATGCAAAGTTTGCAACGAATCCGGACTTGCAAGAGCTGTGTGGGGCTTAGTCAAGACATCCTGAGAAAGACATGGAGAAATTGAGCAGCAAAGCACCCTGATAATGTTGGATTTGAACAATTGAATCACAGATCTGCACACGCTTTCACATCCTGTCGTCTCAAGCATATGAGGTCTCCACTTGTCTCTCTTCAAGAGCTTTGCAGTTGCTTGGAGAACGGTCCCTATGCTGCAGAGCTGTCGCAGAGAAAAGACAAGATCAACGCATCAAGGACGGACGAATGGGGTTCCATTTGACCCCAACATTGGGGGGTTTGCTTGCCAAATCCGAAGGATGTAGCTATACAAAGCTATACTGCAACAACGTTATGTGTATATAATGACTCGCAGTGCAATGCCTAGTGTGGGAGTGTGCAGAACTATCTCAACAACATGTACAAATAGCCGCCCAAGTGCACAACATGATGGCAGCACTATTGACTTGAGCAAGCTTCCATGCATTGCTATTGCTGCTGCTGCTGCTGCTGTTGGCGGCAGCGGCAGTGGTGGTTCTTCTTGTTGGCGTTGAAGGGGGGCAAATCATATCAGTTTTCCTAGCTAGGAGAAGAAACCCTACCATTTTGGATGCCAAGAAGAAACAACAGGTATATAACTCCTCCTCCTCCTCCAATATGACATCCGGCTCGCAGGACTTTTATGATGTGGGGACACCCAAGTCTTCTCGACCAAGAGGATGAGCCTTGAGGAATCCACTGTCCAAGAAAACTGACGTGGTGCGACGGCCCCAGCGTCAAGCATCAAGCAAGGCCTATGCGAGCGCCTTCGATGACGTTCCGTCCTTCGAATGGAACAGAATCCTGCACAGCATCGTACCTCCGAAAGGAGACGAAAAAGAAAGAAACGAAGGTTTAAAAGGAGCCTAATAGCAACCTGATTAGCTTTAAGGGAACCTAATAGCGATGGCCTCCAACCTACCAGCGATGGCCTCCAACCTAACCTGTATTTGGTCACCTGGTCACCGGGTCATGACACTTGGAGAGGAGCATGGTAGAGGAGGCCGCAGTTTGGTCGCGAAGGAGGCGACGCCACTCGGATGATGCCTCTGGCCGAAGGTGAAGGAACATATTTAGAAAGAACGGTGCTTTGATCCTGAGAGGAATAACAGCTGCTCAGCTTCATCATACATCTCATGCAGATTTTCACGGAAATTGACAACACAAAACAAGAGCAGTAGATGATTCAAGGATGAAAGGCTTCTGTGTGACCTCACCCACTTGAACTGGTGTGACCTCGGCCTGAACTAGATTTGTGACTGTGGAGCCGAAGCGTTTGGGCTCACGTGCCGTTTAGTCAAAAGGGATTCATGCAACTCCCCTGAAACGTTTAGATCTCTCTTTGTCACCGTCTAAGCACATCTTGGGGTGAATTTGAGAACTTTGAGAGTGAAGATGAGGCCTGCAAAATAGATTTGGGCGAGAGAAGATCGTGACAAAAGAAGGATTTACGTAAACAATGAGGGCCTGTGATTCTCAACATCTACTTCCACTGCCCAAAGTATTTACTAGTGTCACAGTTGTTTGGTACTTCCTTTAGTTCTTGTTTCAAGCAATGTCGCATTCTATGCAAATCTGACAAGATGTGAAAACAGGGCCTCATGCGGTGCCATGCATGGTGCGGAGGAGACCAGCATGGGTTTGAAGAGGACGATGAAAGGAGTCGACGAGTCAATGGTTGGGCACTCCGACTTGATTCCGAAGCGCTGACGAGTCAAGCGATTTTACATGTCGAGTCTCATTTCCAAAGAGACGAAGACCACGACACATTGGGACAGTACTCTTGGCTCTTGGCTCCAAAGCGTGCCATGCCCTACCAAATATTTCGATGGTAAGCTAGGTTGTTAACGGTAGCAGAAACGGGTTGGAAAGGATGTCCGGTTCTATTTGGGAGGAGAAAGCCCTTCACGTGGAAGAGAAGCAGGTCTGGAATGTTTGCTGCGCAGACAGAGTATGGCAGGTCTTAGGAGTCACCGTTTGTACGGCAAAACACCTTTCTTGGACAGCTGTTGCTCGTCCTTTCTGTCCAGTTGATTGACCAACTCTCAATCTAGCAGCCAACATGATGGCACAGATGAGCATGTAATTAGACATGTCGAGAATATCAGGATCCTGTGTATGTTTTTGTACATGTATACACAGACACAAAACATAAAACAAAACTCTGCAAACGGAAGTTCATTTTTAGGTGAGCTTAGCAAAAGATCCCTCATACACGCAGATTTCAATTTCAATCATGTCAGCAGTACATGTACTTAAAACCATATCGACCCTACCAACTGCAACAGAGGATTGTCTGAGGCCTCTCAGGTTAGAACGAAGGTGTTCTGTTCTGAGCTGGGAGGACGAGGAAGAGCAACTGAGTGATCACTCTGCCAGATCCTCAGCACCCAAAAGGACAGGTCGGAAAGGCACAAGCGGAGGGAGAAACAAGTAGCTTGCAAGCCCCCTCAAGCACCCCATGCACCCCAGTATATACTGCTGCGGGAAAGCTGAGAAGCGAACCACATTCATCTACCTGTTTCTGAGGATGCTGGGACCAATCCTGCCCTTAGCAAAGGCGCTGGCCATTTGGGTCCGGAACAAGGAACACACAGGTCCGGAACCTATCAAAACATGGAAGTCTCCCAAGGCCCGCAACCATAGAATGCATGTTCATTTGTCAGTTCTATCCAGAACTTTTCGGGCTCCAATTTTGAAGATGGGAATTGCTGATGTCCTGTGATTGGAAAACTTCCATAGCAAACCCGGCTTGCAAAAGCTTCCAGAGATGCATGAAGTATGCAGAACAATGGGACAGCAATGTCGTTCATTTCGTTTGATTCCTCATCAACCCACCAACAGCGATGCATGATCAAGAATGGCCTCTACAGTTAGAGCTACTACAATCCGAGTTTATTTTTTTTCCCCAAACAGTTTACTGTTGGGGTTCTACTAGCATCTTAGAAAAAAGAGCTGGCCACACTCACTCACTGGCCGCGCCCATGAACTCTGTGGCTGGGCTCTGTGGCCGTGCTCTGTGGCCCGGCTCTGTGGCCGGGTCTTGTCCTCCTCTTGTCCTCCTCTTGTCCTTCTCTTGTCCTCTGGCCGCGCTGACCAGCCCTGGACACACTGACTGGCTGGGCCCCTGAACTCTGTGGCCGGGCTCTGTGACCGGGTCTTGTCCTCTTGTCCTGCTCTTCTCTTGTCTTCTCTTATGGCTGAGCAATCAGCGATGTCGATGCCGACAAAAATCATTGATAACGCAATGTCCTCTAGGGGGGAAGGTCGGGCGTACCAAGAAATCGTTTTTGACTAATATTGGCCCCAACGAATCGTTTTGAAACTGTTTGGGGTCTATGCTGGTATAATTTTGGTGTTGAGATCCCACAGCAGTAGACACTCTTCCACCCATTTTCTACGCGACCCTTGAAGGCGACCAGTTACTAGCACATGTTTGATAATTTGTTCATCCACCTCAGCACCGGAGTAGTTGGATGCAAGTTTCTTCTCTTGTCTCGCTAGGTGTAAGCCCGGAGGGCACTCCATGTGCCGTGTGCCGACGAGCTTTGCAGCCAGTTGAGCAGAGGCCGAGGGAGAGAAGCCATGGAAAGACAAGTCCAAAAGCATCCCAAAGCACTCAAAACCACTGTTCCACAAACCTCCTTGAAGGGAAAATATGTGCTTTGGTCTATAGAATTAAACGGGGTGGGGGAACCACGAAGGAAACAATCCCTCATGTTGAGGTTTGACTTGCTAAGACACCTTCCAGCTTCTAGGCTTAGACACCTTCCTGATCGCCCACTTTGCAATGCGTCCACAACCTAGACCTAGAGCAAACAAATGCAGTATGCCTAAGTCTGAGGCGCTTGGCATGTTTTTTGACTATTGACGTTCGTCTTTCGCAAGTAGTTACGTCTTGGACCACAAGTCAAACCGTTACATCCCTAGACTGCATGACGTCCCTACCAGTACCGTTTGTTTACGCCTACGTCCTCCGGCCGGGACCGGCCACGGCATAGCAACCACGAGTTCGGCACGACCGCAACGGCTCAGGTGCTGTTTTCGCGAGATGGATCCTTTCAGGCCCGTGCAGGAGGCGAGCAGTTTCATGGGGAAACCACCATTCCCAAGCATTGTCAAGTGTTTGCAGTACCTTTTCTGCGTCTCATTTGGTGTCAAGGATTGTCACGTGCTTTTCAAAGAGACGGCTGATTTTTGGACTCGAGATATTTCTGATTGGTGTGGATTGGTTGGTGGATTGGTGTGGATGGTCCGGGTACTGAGTATACTATTATACTGGATGTCGCCTCTGGCCCTCTGGCTCATCAACTTCCATCGCTGGTCAGTTGGAGCACGTGATGTACTTGTCAGTACTCCCTGGTCGACATTTGACCTTCGATTTGGAGGCGAGCGGTCCGTGCGGTTCCAACACATGCGGTGGAACCGCCTCCAACGACTCGGAGTCTGACTCCAGTCACCAGTCCAAACCCACCGTTCGGACGCAGTTCTCTCTTCCAACACGCCCATCCCAGGCGTCCCACAGGCCCCTGTTTACTATTAGGTTGGAGGCCATCACTAGTAGGTTGGAGGCCATCGCTATTGGTTCCAGCCGCGTCTTCGTGCCGAGGTGCCCGACCTCCGGCAGTGGCGCAAGGACGGCTTCGAGGTGGAGATCCGGGGGCTCCGCAGGCGCCGGACCAGCCACGTCGGGGGAGGTCGAGGCGAGACCAAGCGACGGGTTGGTCAACCACGGTGAAGGTGGAGTGGTCTCCTTCGGCGTCGAAAGAGAGATCGGATGAGATGCGATTGGTTTCAATGGTGCTTGATTTATTTTTTCAACCTTCCATATTCTACAGCCAAATCTGCAAGTTGAAGCCTTCAATCGTGGTGGCCGATGCCGCAAATGCCCTGGTTCATTTTAAAGGATGGCAGTGAATTCACGACCGCGGAGCCGACCGTTGCGTTCAGGCGATCCCTCGCCGAGTCACAGTCTCTGCAGCAGGTGAGTTGTCATCGACTTGCTCACGTAGCACTTGACAACACTTAACACAAGTTCACCCGCAAGTTGTTTGGAGTACAAAGCCAAGACAGCCGCAGCCACACCACCCCGCATTCTTTTTTGCCAAGCTGGTTAGGTGTGGCCAAGCTTCCTGAGTATCGAAGTGAATGGCCACGAGGCACTGCCGGTGCTGTTCGACCCGTTGGCTCCGCTGGGCGTCGGTGTGCAGCGTGCGAACGACTTGAGGTGTTCACTACGAAAGTCCCATTGCGCGGGCCACGCACTTAATCTATCTTAATCCTACTTGTATCTCTATCTATCTATATATATATATCCTTTTCAGCCCGACTACAACTTGCGTGATGCATTGTATTCAAGTTGTCCATCAATTCTTCATCAACTGGTTGCCTCCCAGCAGAATCAGGACATAGGAGTTAAGCCTCAATCTGCTTGGCGCGATATTTTCCAAGGCATAAGCGTCGCGATTTGCCGCAAAGTCTTTCGGCTGTTGCCTTAGCTGTGCCGAGTGCACCGTGCAGTCCTGGCCGTCACTCGCTTGAAACGTGGCAGCAACCTTCCTGCGACCCGCTTTGGCTCATTCTGCCCGTCCAGAGGCAAATCTTCGCCGTGGGACGAACGCGGTGGAAGTGACAGCTGAAGATGAGCGGAGGCGGCGAATGGTTGCGGAATGTGTGAAGATGTGTGAAGTGAGCAGGGGGCTATGAAGTTATGCACGATCAAGCACTCACAAAGCCATTACCTGGGCAGACATAGGCCCGTTGTTGTGCTCGTTTTCGGACATGTTTGGCTGTCTGACAGCCAGCATGCTTCAAGGCCTGTTGATAAAGGGACCGGAACCAACTCAGTGCGAAGCTTGCTGGATAGATTTCAAACGAGGAGTCTTTCTGAGACAAGCGCAGTTTCTGCAATTGCTACACTAATTATGATGAAACTGTCTTTAGACTGCCTGAGTTCCGGATCACTGCGCCTGGATACTCAGCCGACCCTTATTGTGGTGCGACACCCTCATCTCATCTCACGGTTGGTCTAGGCGCGACTTCTTGTTGGCGGTGGTGAGGACCGAAACGGTGAGGTGGTCAGTGCAGATTGTGTGCAGATCGTCAACGGCCAAGATGTCCCGAGGGACTCAGTAATGCCCAGTGTGACAAAAAGAAATGTGGACACTTGACAAGAAGAGGATTGATTGTGAGAGAGAGAGAGAGAGAGAAGAGAGAAGAGAGAAGAGAGACGAGAGAAGACAGAAGAGAGAAGGGACAAGGGACAAGGGACAAGGGACAAGAGGCAGGCAGGCAGACAGGCAGGCAGGCAGGCACGCACTCAGGCAGGCAGGCAGGCACGCACTCAGGCAGGCAGGCAGAGAGAGTTGACGCATCATAGGACGCTGCCATTGAAGCCTCGGGATCTGTCCCGCTCCATTCCTGAAGAGACCTATCAGGCAAGCCTCACGTTCTGTTCATCTGCCAATTGTGAATGAACACATGGTGCGTCTCATGTGTGCGTCTCAAAATGGGAAGCACGGAAGCACATTGAACGAGTCTTTTGATTTTTCCCCTTTTGGAGAATTTGTAGGGTGCAATGCCGACATACGGCACCCTGAATCATTGTACAGGTCATGCTCGCACAAGTGCCTTGAGTGCCCTCATTGACAGGATTGCATGCAGCGGATACAAGCTCTTCTGCGGGAGTCTTTGGCACAAGGCCTTAAGCAAGTCACAAAAAACAATGCAGCATATACTAATATATGGTCCGGTCTTATATGGTATATAGGTTTGTAACATGGTTTGTATTGGTAATTATCACGAAAGCTAGCGAAGCTAGCTGGAGTTACTCTTGCGATAGCAAGGTTTCTTTCGATCGGGTGCAAATCCTAACCCTTGATTTTTCAAGTCGAAGACCCCCCTCCCCCTCACTCTCACTCTCACTCTCACACTCTCACTGTCTCTCTCTCTCTCTCATCTCTCTCTCATCTCTCTTTTCGCTCTCTCTCTCTCTCTCTCTCCTCTCTGTTTGTCGTCTTTCCGTCTCTCTTCTCTCTCTTCTCTCGCAGGAGGATCCGGGCAAAGAGCCACATATAAAGGACTCTTCACCTGGGAGTGTAGCTCCATTGGTCGGTCGGAGCCGCATCACCTCCAACTTGAGATCCTTGAAGTGGAAGACGACGGACAGCAGATCGCACCTAAGACGACCGTTGGTCCGGGTTGAGGTGCACACGAGGTGGCTGAAACTGTCTTCCTCCCACCTTCCCTCCCTCCTCCCTCTTCGCAAGTTCGACTCCGTCCTGTCGTCGCTCTTTGGCATGCGGTTAGCGTTGCGTATCTTGCGGCCACACTCGCTCACTCTCACTCTCACTGTCACTCTCACTCTCACTCTCACTCTCACTCTCACTCTCACTCTCACTCTCACTGTCTCTCTCTCTCTCTCATCTCTCTCATCTCTCTCTCTCATCTCTCTCTCATCTCTCCCTCATCTCTTTCTCATCTCTCTCTCATCTCTCTCTCCTCTCTCTCTCTCTCTCCTCTCTGTCTCTCGTCTTTCCGTCTCTCTTCTCTCTCTTCTCTCGCAGGAGGATCCGGGCAAAGAGCCACATATAAAGGACTCTTCACCTGGAATCGTTTGCCCCGCCCAACTTGTGCAAGGCGTCCTGCCTTCTGCTACTCCGTGCGACTGCCTCCAAAAAGAGCGCCGTGTTTTTTCCTACCTCGCTGCCCTCCACTTTCCCATTCTGGAGCGCTAGCTTTCGCCCCCCCCTTGGCCTCAAGTTACATAACTATTCATACTTTTGCGGCGCATCAATATGTGTTGCTTGCTCCGAACAGTGAACCTTGGCGCAGACATGTCGCTTCTGCGAGGGCGGGCCCACCACGGTCTCGACGGCGCAGCACGGTTGCAAGTCGGACTCGACTGCGCCACCGACGGACCGCGAACGCCGTTCGGGGTGAAGACGACAGTGACAGGTCGAACGGGTCGGCGATGAACGGTTGAAGCTGCAGTGCACGCCCAAGTGAACGGTTGAAGCGAGGAGACGAACGCACCGAAGGATTTGCAGGCATCGTGTTTCGTCAGACAGCATTGGCGCAAAGATTTGACAGCAGACTGAGACATGAAAAGAATAATTAGGTCCAGGTGTAACTGCAATTTTTTGGCGCCGTTTGTTGATCCTGCACGTTCCAAACAGCAAGTCATCTGTAGCTTTTTAGAAGAGTCTACCGGAAGATAGGGAAGACCTGAAAGGCATGCTGGTGGCAAAGATTGAATGCGAAGCGTCCTGTTTCGCTCAGATGCCCTATTATGCTGACACGGCCAAGCACACTTCCGGTGCGAGGCAAGCTGAAATGCTCATGTGCAAAAGAGAATAACAAAAATAATCATCACTGATCAGGAGGAAGCCCTGAGCAGTAATTTGTGATAGCATTGGCAAAACCCTTTGGGTGGTTGCACCACACGTAACCCCCCTCGTTTTGTTCGTTGGGACAATAGCGGTGTGACGAGAATTTCTCCGGACCGACTTTCTCCGGACATTTTATGGAGACCTTGAACCGTAAACTTGATGCAAACTTGATCAACGTTGATATTGCACGCGCTGACGACACACGGAGAGGTACCGAGTGCCGCCATTTTCAGCGCAGAGCTCGGATTCATGAAGCTCTTGAGATGAACAGATGAGCTCTTAATGGCGTTTTCAAGTTTTCCCAATGTATGGTAATCCGTTGAACTCGCAATGTTGCGAGATTTTGAACATCGCTCACACACGATCATCGCTGACGGACATTCAATCTGTTTGGGTGTACAGTAGATTTGTAAGTGTATCACCGAAGATCTTCCGAAGCATTTCGCAGATATGCGTTATAGGCTACTGTATAGTGGGTGTGTTCTTCCAAGACCTTCAAAGAGGCTTCAGACATACCATCCACCCAAATCCAAATCTTGAGTATCCACCCTTCTTCAGGTGCATCGACTTGGATGCATACCTCATCTCCAATTTTCGCACGAAAGCTTTTAACAGCCGCTGGCGCTGCCCTTTGTGCAGCTTTGAAATTCGGCAGCTCGGCCTGTGCGTGGGATGATTTTGATGTTCCACCTTAGCTGAAACAAGGAAACACAAAAAAGAAATGGACAAGCAAAAGAAAAGACAGAAAAGGGAAAGAGATCAAGCACCAGCCATCATTTGCCTGTCCTGGAGGCCTAAAGACCTGAGAATTGATACCTTCGTGCAGATGTTGCTGAAGGAGACTGAAGCTGATGTTGAAGAGGCCAATCAACAGCAACAGATCAGATCGACCGCTCCGCTCTGGAAGAATGGTAATTGGTAGAGATGGTGAAAAAACCACTACAGTCAGTATATTCATAGACATGATGCACAACGCACAACCTTTTGAGGCTTTTCCTTTCCTTTTCTGTTCGAATCTTTAAAAAAAAAAAAAACCAACAGATTCTCTTGCATCAGAGTGCTGTGGAGCATTCGACACTGCAACAATGACACTAACATACACTAATCAATCAGAAAAAGGAGCAACATTTGTCTTTGCTTGACCGATGTGTGATTAGTCTCTTGGTAGGTACTTCTCTTTCCCGATGGAAGTTGGCAAAAAGGAGAACCAGTTCCGCAGACCCGTGCCTCTTGTGGAACTGACTTCGCTGACTCTGCTCATCTCTGCTCAGTGCAAACGGATCACAAGTACATCAACTGCACCACGAGCTCAACTTTGTTTGCGACTGATCACAAGTACATGGCCCGACCTGGCCATCGAATGACCCAAACAAGACTGGCGACAGCAATCTCAAGTCCTCGCCTTTCGTCCTTTACACATCCTAAAAGACATCTAGTTCTCAGGCACTTGCCAGTTTATTTGACCACAGGTGTGTTTTTTCAGACCACAGGAGTTCTTCAATGCAAGCGTTGAAAAGAGACCAGTCGAGCCTTGGCTGGTTGAGCTTTCTATTCTGACCCTTTTTGTTGAACACGAGTTTCTTGGGAGGTCAGCAGGCAGATTTCATCGCCTGCAGGTACTCCGTCAACTTCGCCATCTCCTCCACGGCCAGCCCGCAACTGCGCCGTCCCCGCTGCCAAGGCGCTTGTTTGGAAGTGGAGACCAAGATCAAATAAACGCAAAACCACTGCTTCATGACATCTTCATGCAAGAAGCACACCTAGATCGAGAAACCAACAGAAGGTTTGGCTGTGGACATGGGGGTTGACGGGACAAACGGTTTTAAAATGATCCTCACCTACACTTATACACCCAAACCTTCAAAGACTGTCCAATTACCCTCAAGCAGCATGGAGGTTCACACATCTAGAAAGCACACGCAAGTCAGACAAGGATCTTGACTTCCCCGCTGAATCTGCAGAGCTCTTTATCCCCAGTTCGTCCCTGCAGATTCATTCCTCAATGTGAGGCCCAGTTCGTCCTCCTTTCAGTCCACTTCCTGAGGCTCCATCGAGGCGAAGGACGAATGGTGCCGTTGCCAAAGCACAAGGCCCGCGATGAGACTGAGAATCTTAGGGCTTCAAAGTGTTTCTGCCAAAGCAATGGGCATCGTCCACTAAAAAAGCGTGAACAACCCACACTCCAGGTGAAAGTCATATTTGGGTTGATCCAGCATGTTTGTGGCCCGTGCAAAGAAGGTGGCCCTAGGAGGTGGCCTCAATGAATGGTTTGAGACGGGAATCCAACATCCTCCCAGTCAGTCCATCCTGGTAAATGAATAAGACTCACTGAGATCCGTGCATCACGGGGATGTGAACACTCTAAGTTTGGGAAGACCCACCAAGACTTTCTGGTGTGTTGGAGGCCATTGCTAGTAGGTTGGAGGCCATCGCTAGTAGGCTAGAGGCCATCACTATTAGGTTGGAGGCCATGGCTATTATTTACTTAATTTACTTTTTTTGAAGCCCGCTCCGGCTCTGTCTCACCTTGCCATTCAGCGTCTTCTCCAACACATCCCATGTTTGTCCATGTCCACTGAACTCAGATCGAGGCGCCCCTCGACGTCGAGACAAAAAGCGTCGGAAAGCTCCAGTCCAAGGCACCGAGCTCCATTGGCAGTAGCCTCTACTAGAAAAGGATTCTTGTTCCTTGGTAGATACACGATATTTGGCTATATGATATAGACACTATATAGACACTCTCTTTGTTTGATCCTGAGAACATGAAAGATCAGACACTGCAAGGCGTATATAATTGTTTTCATTTTGGATCCCTTGTACCTTATGATTCCATATGATCTTCTCCTTGCCAACATCAACATGCTGCAAAGGGTGCAAACCTGCAAGATGGAGTCTGATTCATGACAATGTTGCATTTATCATCATTCACCATCCCTGTAGCAGTTTCCTCTAAGATTGGAACAACACTCCGTCTATCTGCTACCAAGCATTAGTAACAAGTGCAGCGCTATTTGTAGCAAGAAGCCATTAGTAACAAGTGCATCGCTAGTAGCACTCGCTTGGAGCAGCACCCCTCTTCCCAGTCGCTCGAACTCACTCCGTGTTGAACAGACCGGACCGCAGGAGAGACCGGGACGAAGCGCCGCCGGGTCGAGGGCGTGGCACGCAACAGAGACTTGGTCGACTGGTCAAGGGAATGAGTGGCTGGATGGGCAGGAATTACCTAAAACCAAAAGCGCAGTCATACATTGACGTATGTCATCCGCCCTCATGTCCTCTCTCACCCAATTTGATTTGTTTCTCATGGATTCTCTTCCCGAAATGACGTGTGCAATCTATTTGTGCACGCCGTGCACCCGAGGAGTTCATGCGACGAACTCGCGTGCGAGAGCACAGGACTGCGTTGGGTTGACCATGCACCCACTTTATGTGCAGACCTATTATGTGCAGAACCCAATCGTGTAAAAGTAGAGTTTGGAAGACTTGCGCACTCGGACAATGCCGTTTGCACAGGCATAGACTTGCCATGGACACCAATTATGTTTCATAGAAGTGGACTTCAGGAGGTTGGCCAGGAAAACTGCCAGGGTATCTTCCTTCCGATTCCTATTTCCTTATTTTCACTAGACAATCACTATATAGTTATATAGTTATTTAAAAGATATGAATATCTTTTTGAACTCTATATTTCTCATAGATTGTACCAGTGGGCCTAGGCAATGCAACAGCAACAGTGTATCAGTGTATCTATTGCTCACAAATGGGCCGACGCCCATACTCATACTGATACCGCTGATGCTTCAATTACAGTCGTTTGACGGCGGCAAGGAATGAGGGCATGCTCCTAGTTGGCGAATTGACCATCTGTAGACATTACAGAGGATTCGGCAACTCTTGAGGTCATTTCATGGTCATTTCCGTGTTCCCGGAGCATCAGAGCTTGACCGCGCAGGTCCCATTGCTTCCCCTTGCGCCGAGTTCCGCGCGCGGGGGCCACCGTGGCGCGGGATGCGGCGGCCGGGGGCGCGGGCGTTCCTTGGTCCGGAAGCCGGGTGTAGCGGCACGCCGGGCAGCGGCCATTGCGGCTGGGCCCAACAAAAGCGTGGGCCGAAAGCTCAGGGAACCGAGCCGGTGTGTTTGCGAATCCTTTGACTATTCGGAGAAGTGCTTTTCGGCAGTTTTCTTTTTTTCCTCCATGCACACGATGTGTGGATCTCCGCGACAGTACATAAGCTTCACAATCAGATGCTTTGCAGGAGCTTCTGAGAAAGATTGGCGTTCTTTTTTAGGACTTGCACTACTGTTCCTACAGTTAGTAGCTATCACAGCTTCACTTGCTTGACGTTTGAGGTGTTGACTCAGATGCATCTCCAGAGTTGGTGTCTGACTCCGGAGAAGAGCTCGAAGGATCCAAAGTCCACACAGTGCCCGTGATGAGACACGGAGAAAAATCAGTGTCCCATGAGCGGAGAAGGTCGATTCCGTGCCATTGCTTCCCAAAGTTTTGGGCATCAGCAGGGTAGCTGGTTGCATGGATTCCCTGGAAACAAAGCTAACTAACCTCAAGAAAGTTGCGAAATCCTACGGCTGCCAGGGCCGATATCTTTGGGGTCAAGACTGTCAAGAGCAGGTATACAGTCCCTGGTTTGTTAATTCATCACTCAGACTTGAGCCACTCTGATTCTTAGACTTTTTTGCCATGATTGAACTGAGTAGATTGTGCGATGCCGGATGTTGTGCTTGGTGCTGTCTTGTGGCTCAGAAGTGTTCAATGGGTTGAGGAAGACGGGGCCATGGGGACTTTGGACGTGCCAAATGCTCCTATCAGTGAAGAGCAGCGATCTCAGTGATGATGCCGTGTTTGTTTCATGTTTGTTCAGTTTGTCCAGAAATTTGGCAAGATGTGGGTCACCCAGTGGGTATGGGTCATTTTCCTTCCAGTTCAACATGCCGCGAGGCTCGTGAGCCGAGAGGGCATTCCAACCGGAATACCCCGAGTGGTCCCAAGAATCGTCAAGTGCCCTGCGCGATGTCACGGAGGGCGGTTTCTGGGTTTCTCAGATGAGAAAACCGTAAAACCGTTTTCCATCACAGGCTGAAGTAGCAAGATTTGCAGACTATTTGGAGACGTTGTGGTCCATATTTTTCCGAGTATGCTCAACATCATGTCCTGCTTTGGTTTTGGAATTGCTGGAGCAATGACTATCGGCACGAAGACCGAGCAGGGAATGTATACCAAGACCTTCAGGTTCAGTCAGGATGAACAACTTGAACAACTCAATGATGAAACGGAACAAAACTGCCGAGAGACTGGACTACTGTGTTGCATTTTTGGAGACCCTTGGCTGAACATCTTAATGGGTATTTCAGTACAAGTCGTGGGGATTTCAGCCAAACACCACTTGCAACTCATGCGTTGGGAGCCAGTCCCAGACTGGACTCACTTGGCAGGTGGGAACATCAGCCTGGGCACAAGCCTTTTGAGAGCTACCAGCTCCCCAAGTGGGTTCGCTCACCCAGCTTTTGATGACCCAATCGGACATATTGCTAGATCTCAATGGCCTGGATCCACCATCATATCATGTCATATATCCATACTTACAAATGATTCTCTTCATGTGTCCGCTTTTCGTGGCAGTTTTTCCAGCGCACAGAGAGCCCAAGAGATCGGGGCAGAGCTGACACTGTTGCGTTCATGGAATCTCTAGCCATGTTGTTTTGTCGTTTCTAGCTTCCTTGCTCCGTTCGCAAGGCCAGGAGCCCCGTTCGTAGCGTCGTTGTTTCACTGGCTTCGTCTGACATGATCTCCAGATCTGTGGGATGTGAGAGGATCGTCTCCGGCCCGTGGCCCGTGGGGCTCTTTGTGAGGTGAAACATCCCGATGCGCAAAAACCTTCCATGAAGCTGCAGCCGGAGGATCGTGAACCCGAAGCTTTCTGTGTGGGGTATTTGGATTTGTGTCAATGCAACCACTCATACAATAGAACTTTTGTGCACCTTTTCGTTGAGCTCAACACATGACAATGATTTGCACATGGCGATCATTGGTCAAACAGCCTTCTGCTCCTGAGGTGCATCAGAATTCCCCTGGTAGTGTAGACCATGTACTGTAGACGTTGTAGACCAGACGTCGACCGAGCCGGAGAGATCCTATCGGATTCCGTTCCCAGTGCCTTTCTTCAACGACTGACGCGTCTCCCAACCGTGCCCCGAACGCGGAACGAGGACTACATGGGCTCTAAGAGAAGACATAACATCCACTCATGGAATGTGGCTCACATTGGTGGGGGCGACCTGAGTGGATGGGGTGGTGGGGTCACTGCATTGCAGATGAAGGCTTAGGCTGCCTAGTATTTCTTTCACTGGATTCATATTCTATGGATTATGGGCACGGTGTCGGTGTGCGGGGATTATGGAGGTCACAGGCAGTGTCTCTTTTTGCAGTGAAAGCAAATAAAGGCACTTAGAGGCACAGATCACTTGTCATCAGAAGGGTTTGTGCATAAGAGTTGATCAAAGGGGTTGCCGGGACACTGTCGCTTGTTCTTGTTTGCCCCCTTGGACACAGGCACTTGTTGCCTCTCGGTGTCAAGCATCATGTCGACGTGTAGCGGTGCTTTCCACACGACCAGCGGCTACACGACCTGCGACGGCGGTCGACTGCGATCGGTCCAGTCACCTCCTCGTCCAGCGAAGAACCCTAAGACGATCTAAGATGGCCCGAACGAAAGACACCGCAGGATCGTCCGTTTCAGGGGGAGGCAAAATGGCCACTCAAGACACTGTCCCACCTTACACAGAGTCTAAAAGATGAGAAAACTCTTAGGTGTCAGAGACCCCTCATTCTGAGCCTTTTGCAAAGATCCACTCATTTTGACTGAACTTCACATAGTGATTTCTACTTTCGACAACTTGTGGACTTTGTTTCAACCCTTCGACATGCTTCCAGTGTGACCCGGATTTCTGCCGTCGCTCCGAACTCAGTAGCAAGAAGCTAGTAGGTTGGAGGCCATCGCCACTCGGGTGGAGGCCATTACTAGATACTACTGGCTTCGACGCCTGGTCCTTCGAGTTCGTTTTCGGGTCCTTTGAGGTGCTCAATGTGCCATGTTCGAGGGTCAAGGCTTCAAAATGCTCGAGAAGGCCACCACGCAAGAGATCAATGCGCAGGAGAGAAAACGTTGAGAAGGGATCTAAAGTGTTCGTTCCCCAGAGATGTGCAACACATCCGCCGTTTTCGTCTCGTCGGTTTTTGGATTCCTTTTCTTTCATACGGTTTCTTGACTCGTTGTTTTCCCCTTGTTGCTCCAAGCAGTTCACTTCCACCAAGTGCAGCGGCCTGACGATGTGAGAATCGACGGATTTGATTTGTGTCTCAATTGGTTTGACACACGAATCCCTTGAGTGAGATTCAACTCGTTTTTTTCCATGCTGCTTTCTGTACATGGTCCCTGCTTGAAATCGGCTCGTCTCAGTGAATTGCTCGTCTCGGTGTGCTTCCAGGATACCTTGGAAGGCTTTACACCACTTCATTGGGCTGTCCTGTCGGACAACCCGAAGGAGCGCTTTCTCGGCCGAAGACCCCGAACGAGCGCGACCGTCTCGGGTGGGCGACCGAGGCAGGGTGGGCAACCCCAAACAACCCCTGGTCTTGGTTGAAGAGCTCAGACGCAAGAAAGGGGCGGCAACATTGGACCAGTTATATAGCAGTTCCAAGCCTACCCCCTGGTATTTTCTTGTTACACCTGCGCAACGCAGGCCAATTCATGGGCACCCCGTCTCAAGACGCCGGCATAATGAACGCAGAAGGTTGAGCCCTTCCGACCAAGAGACCTCGCTTCTTGCAAGGCTGTGATCTGGCTTCTCGCACATGGGGCCGACAAAGATATCAAAGACATCCAGGGACGAACGCCTGAAGATCTCATTGAGGACACAGGGCTTTTGTGCTCCTCTTTTGGGTCAGGCAAAGCTGCCTGGTGGCATTTGCTATCAGTGGCCTCACAGGCACATACTGATGTACAAAAAGAACATTAAAAGGACATCAAGTGAATCAGGTGTTAAACCAACAATGCTAAGAGAGCTCGACGTTATGCGGGTGTGGTTTTTACGTGCTTTTGTGGTGTTTTTCTTAGATTTTGTCATGTTTAGTCAGAGTTTCCATGGTTATAGTCTAGATATGTTCTTGTGCTCCTGTTTCCTAAACAAAACCAACTTTTCTTGTTTAAAAAACCTCTGGATCCAACTCTACCCTTCCTTGCCCATAAGCATTCTCATTGTTTCAAAGGTAGCACTTTTTGGGCTTCTCCCTCCACATTCTTTATGAAGTGGAGAGAAGATCATTATCTTGAAACACAATGTGCCCACCACGCCCAACAAAAGTTGAGAAACTTGCTTAGTAGTACTGGACCTGGATGACTGATTGGAATTGGGTTTTGCATGGCC